AAAACAAAAGATTGTTGATGATAATTGGTGCTTCCTTATTCAGAGAGTTAATAATCGAGATAGAACTGTGTATAATACCTTCTGATTTTAAATAGTTTTCATTTTGTCATTAGTCTGTGATATAATGTATGTTCATTGCGAATAAAGTGTTCATAAAAAACTGCCATTATAAATAATTACTACATTGATTGTTAGCAACCAGCTTTGTACTAGATTTTCCGAGCTTGTAATAGGAATCCATTAATTTTGGAGTTCGACCATATCAATTATGATATAGTTATCTCCAGTGAGGCTGGACAGCGACCGTTGGTAATCGCGGGTTAACTGAGGTTTGGAATGTGGACTCCTGTGACTTTGCTTAGTTGGTTAAATAGATTTTAATGTCCTGGAAGTACTACTGTGAAGGTTTCACATATGTAGACGAAAGAATTATTCAGTACCTCCAAGTTTTCATTGGTTCTCTAGGCGATATCACTTTTTCATGCGGAAAATTATCTTCGACTTCTACGAATGTTAAAATATCTATTTCACACTGTTCCTTTTGTCAAATAATTAGTTCCTTTAAAGTAGAATGGTTTCCCACTCAAGTTTATGGATAGTGATCTGAAACCAAAACGTCAAGTTGGAAGTACTTTCACAGTTCGGAAGAAAGTTGTATTCATGAATATTAAATCCAGGGGCAACATGTCTGGAGAAATACTAAAGGGTGAAAGGCATTTTATTCAACTGGGCTGCGAATAGTTTCCTGCAGTAAGAATTTCACTCGAGAAGTGTCAAGGATAAAACTGCAGCTTTGGGTCACATCATTATGTATTTATCAGTTCATTTGCCTTTGTAGAGCACGTTATATCGGCCGTGTACTCGGTAAACAAATACCCGAGAACCACCCTGCATGGCTAGCTAGAGAGGTATACAAATCAATCAACAGCTTAATCCTTGAACAGATGATCAACTCTAGTCACATTCCACCACAAGAATCGTCTTTCAAGATTATGTATAGAATCAAAAGAACTGGCTCTAAACAGGTTTTGATGATAAATTCGCAAACACCTGACGCGATAACAGTTTGCCATTTCAAGCCTTACCTCTCTGTACAAAAGAGTCATGTTCACTTCATTGTATGGTCATAACAACCTTCCTAGTTTTGAAATTGTATACGCTAATTATTATCTTATTTTTCATGTTCTTCTTCGTAAAGTAGGCAGTTGTCTTGTGCACTTATTGTATAAGCTATTACTTTGCCTTAATTCTGAAACTATTATACAACAACAACAAAGTGTAACTCTGAGTTTCTGACCATCACCTGAGTAAACAATAAACTTTCAAATGTTTCTCGCTAACTTTTTAGGTATATCATCTATGATGTGTACATCGAGTTTATTTGTCATAATTTATATACTGTCGTAATGGCAACAATTCAAATGTGATAATATTTGAAACTTTGCAATTTGAAAAAAGGAACTGATCCTGTTTTTTTATGATTTCATTTATTTACTTAGTTCAATATCCACTTAGCTCGAATTGTTACCATATGTTAATTTTCATCTGACAAATATTTTAAGATTAGACGTAAGATTATTACAATTAATACTGATTTATAGTCTTTTTATCCCTTAATAAGTTTTTATTTGTCTTACTTTCAGTGAAGATGCTATACAATCAGCTCGAATTGTTTACTTGTTATGCTTAGTAGATGCATTTTGTTTGTATAAATCAAGAAGTATACGTTTAAATAAAAATGCTAATCGTTTATTTGGTCAAACATCCGCAAATTCACCAAAAACATTTTGGGATTCAATTGTTCATCCGTTATGTACATTAAATATACTTGTGTGTTTACTTGGTAAACCTGTGATTACAATTCTATGGCTTAGTATATGGATTAAAGAAGCGTTAACATCCGAAATGATACAAGTAATATTTCATTATTCGGGTATTCATTCATCGCATAATACATTTCGTTATATTTTGCCATTCTGTTCATGGCTTATCTACTGGACTCAAGGCTGGGTGAGCTTTTTCCAACAAGTAAGTAATATATATATATATATATATATATATAATTAGATTTATTGCATATAAAGTCAACCTCCATTTCATAGTAATACTGACTATTAATATAAGTATTAGCTTTTTTTATTTTCTCTGCTATCATACTGCTTAGTTTTGTTCCTTGAAATAATAGTAAGTAGTAGCTGAGATCCCGATTTGTAGTGCTGATACATACTTTTAAGTTGATAGTGTTACTTTTTTTGTATTTACACATTCTCATTGCAATACTTGAATTGTTGTTTTGCATAAAATTACTGACGCTTACAACATAATGATTAAACGGTTTACGCCTTTTTATCACTGAGTTATCATTTAATTATCAACTAGGTAATAAAATCTGATAAATCATGTTGGAATATTGTGTTTGAATCCGTTAATCCTATTTAAATGATTGTTTATATTTAAAAAATTAATTGAACTGACCAGTACACCTACATGTTACTATGTGGGTTTTTGGATGGATTTAATTGCTTTTGTCTATAATGATGTGTAAAAATTAACTGCATTTTTCTTTTCGAATAAGTAGTTTAACAGTAATATGTTCATCTAAAAATAAGACAGTTTGCACACTTTAGAAAGCTTTCAAATTAAAATAACACAGTTCTAATGATAGTTAGGAACGTAAATTTTGTGATTGTTAGTTGACACCATTATAGTTTGACTAAAGTGTCGAAGGAGATCTCACAATTTTAATGATTTCGCCCTATACCATCTAACCACCATCTATGAAATCTTTAAGTAGACGTCAAGTAGTCATCATAAGGTAACTTATGCTAGGAATAAAGCAAAACTAATCAGGCTAAATGCAATAAAGAAGACGAACATGACTGATAAGAACTTATTATACATCGAGAATAAATTCTAACAAATCACACCTAGCTGTTGGTGCGATGGAACCGACAAAGTGAATAATAAATCTTAAGTGACTATATCATTTATGCTATACCTAAATTTTAGCCTATCAAAAGGGTTCATCCAACTTTCTTAGTATACTGTAAATACTTATATTCAAACCTGAGATCCAAGTGTTGTTCAATCAACAATGGACAAAAATTTATGGAAAGAAATACTGGAAAATCACTTCAGATAACTGATAATCCAATATTGTCAACTGTTCATTTTTCTTAAAATATTATTTCAGGGGAATTCCTTGAGCTTTTCTACCATCGATCTATCTGCAGCGTATGTTGGTCTTCGATATCATCAACCAATAATAGCCGGTCTACTTTTAGCCTTTTACACTTACTCTGGACCATTAATATGGCAGTTAGCCTATTTTTGTCGATTTGTTTTATCTAGATATAAACATTTTGGTGAAAAGTTTAATTGTCTTGTATTAGGTTTTATTGTATTGCCTATTACGTTATGTGGCACATTTTGTTTCTTTCTACAATCACATTTATTTATTTGGACAGTTTTTGCACCGAAGATGTTGTATTCTGCTGTATTATATTTAACTATGGTTCCTGTTTTATGTATTTGGTCTGTGATAACCCCATAAATGTAATTTTAAGCAAGAATGTATGAATATATGTGGTTTTATTTCATGTCTTAAATGTTCTAGTGTTTTCTGTTTTATGCTTCTCATTTCCAATCTCTCTTGATGCTGAACTCTGTCGTTTTAGACTTAGAAAAAAAAAGTAAGTCAGTTTAAAGTGATAACCACAGCAATAAGATTAAGGAAGTCGCTCGTAACATGAACATAAAACCGATAAGGGAAACATCGGCTTAGTGTTTGCATTTGTCTATTGATCCATCTGAAATTGGAATGTCCATGAGTATTTAGTTATTTACTGAAAAAAGTTACCTTTTGTAGGCTTTAGCTGTGTCATTGAAAGGATTATTATGTGACCAGATTTCTTAACTTAAACTCTAGGTCACACTTCATCGAAGTGCCAAATAAGTGATGAACACAGAAACAAAAGTTGTTATCGGTGGCTCAAATGTCATATTTACTGGAAGCCATATTTTAAACGTTGCTTTAACACAATAATGCAGTAGCATCTGGTCTCTTTAGGATTTAAAAGTTCAACTATTTAATTTTATTGTTCAATAAAAACTGAAGAAGTGAAGTTTTTCTGACGATCACTAACAATTACTAAACGAAGATGGCTATTCTTCATCTTCCGGAGATTCTTTGAACCAGTTTAATGAATGGTATCCTTCGTTAATACCGATTGTTTGTCAACTGTTATAGTCTCCAGCTATGAGCTTTGGAAATTCATTTCTGTCACTAGCGTCAGAGGATATTTCTGTCAGTGCTGTGATCTGTTTACCTCCAGGTCCCTGGTTAAACTACTCTAGATCTGACGTACATGATAAACAACCAGTGCGAAAAAATACTACACCATTAGTTGTAACAACCACTGTCACCACCATACATCATGGACGCATTTATCCATGAGAAATTTAGAAAGTCGTTGAGTCCCGTTAACCACCATGTCTGCGATATTTCACATATCACATCCCTGTTTCTCAGTTATTTATCCAATGTACGGTGATCCATCGGATCTAAACATAGAAATAGTAGACAAATTGGCAGTAGACTATCGGACACCTAAGCAAACCACTTCTGAATCTGTTACTGATCTGTGAACTGTGACCACAGGGGAGTTCTCCAGTGAAAATTAATGCGTAGTGATGAAATCCATCTAACTCCATACTCTAACTGAGCTCTTGCCGGTTGAATTTAATTGTGTTTTGTATTAATTGAGTTGTGTGATTATGCACATTTGAAACCAGATCCATTTCCATTTTCTGGTTGATGCCTGTAAATTTACAGGATGATTTCTCTTGATATTTACACTAACTGATGATTCCTTTGTATTTGATTGGCCGCTGATCACGAATTTCAAATAAGATGCCTTCATTTGTGCTCATTTAGTTCTCCTTTCCTGATACTGAATTATTTCGGGAATTCCTAGTTAGCACATTAATACGAATACTTCTAATTATTATATAGGCATCGTGATTGAGCCTGTGGATACAGTTGGATATACATCTGGGAATCTTTAGCAAGGTTTAAAATCTGGAGCATGACCAAGAAGAATGTTAAGGATGGTAAAATTGTGGCTCAATGCCATCGAAAGGGGTGCCTACAGCTCACCAAATCTTCGGCATTCTCAGATAAGCTTATTTCACTTACCTCCATAACTCAAAGAACTAATACAAAATCAGGTAAATTGTACTGAATTTCACAGAATGATTCATCAGGAACACCAAAATGTCAGAGAATATGTTCTTGAATTGCAGAAACAATCCGCCAAGTGTAATTGTGATGATCAACCTCATATCCAACTGCACGACTAAATAAATGTAGGAACTAACATACCAAATCTAGGAAAAAAGCTTAGACGAATGTCATAACGCTCCTTCCAAGATGTTAGAACTTCATGTATTATTTATGAGACGGCATGGAATCGACTGCCAGGACATAAAGAATTCCACGACATTACTTTTTTATTCTAATCAGATGCGTGCTCAAGGTCATATGGGTAGGCATTCAATCAACAGTAATGCTCGTTCTCATGAAAAAATGGATATCAATTCATTGGTTGATGCTTGTTTTGTGGTAAACTTCACTTACGAACATCTTGTGTCTTTCGTCATGCTACATGTGGTAAAGTGGGACACATCAAGTCCGTCTGTAAAACTACAGTTCATTTCGCCTCAAATAACACTAAAATCTGCAATTTGGGTGGTTTTGATATTTATATACTATCCTTACATACAACTTCCAGTAATTCATATATTAGTCAAGAACGATTGTACTTGTCCAGCGGTGATTTTCACAATTTTATTTTTTGACACTGGTATTATCAAGTTTATCGGTTCGGTTAGAAATTTGAAGTTATCAAATTTCGATTCTATAATCAAGCCTACAAAATTTTCTATTTCGAATATTACAGGTCATAAACTTCATATTCTTGGGTACTGTACTTTGTTAACTAAAAACGATAAATCTTCAGTCCTAACTTGTGAATTTCTCATCACTGATTGTGGATCATCTATCCTAGGTCTGGAAAATTTAAGAATGTTCCCAGAACACTCTTCTTTTTTGACCATTAAATATGGTTCTAGTGAAACGCTTGATAACTCGTTAATTACATAGTCTAAGTGGAAATAATTAATAACAACTCTAAAGCCGTCTCATTCTGCTGCTGAAGCAGAAAATGTCGAGACCACGAAAACAAATATCGATTCTCTTAAACTCCGAGAGGAGAGGAGATACGTTCTTTCAGTGAAGTATTGCTAGATCATACATAAATAAAACAGTAATGAATTTGCATAAATAAAAGAATATTTGTCTCAATAAGGAAAGCTTAAATTCTGCCGTTATTACAGACCATCGAGGAAGTGATTTCTTACAAGCTATGAAGGTTCGCTAAAACGTTCTGATGAATTTGTAGCTCATATTCAAGCCGATCACAACTGTCAACATTTGATGCCGACCTCATTCGTTTCAATGGACCGACCTAGCTGGTGGAGCTCTGTCATTCATCCGCTACAGATTACGAGTGAGTATGCTGCGCTCAACTTCTTCTAGAACTATTAGTCAGCTTAGATTAGTCACTTACCGATATGCTCATACTCTATCAAATATATCTTCGAGCCTCTACACTCAACTCACAGACAGACAAATAATGGACCTAAGGAAATGACGTACAAGTAACTATAATTTATGGACAACCTTTAATCAAAGTATCAATTCGCAAATGTGTTTGGAGCGATATACTACGGTTACTCATCTTTGTTAAAAAAAACTGGAAGAGTCTGGTTGTGTAATGATTTGGAATCAGGATAGAAACAACTGTCCATCATCTCAAGAATCCAGGATTATTCGTGATTATATGAAAGATGATACGTCAGTGAATATTAAAGGCTCTGACCTTTCAGGGTCCAACCTTATGGTTAACCATGGGATGTCTAAACACATAGAGGAGTATGAGCATATTGCAGGCTATATTATCACTGGTATAATATGATACCTTGATAAAAATCTGGATGCATGAACAAACTCTGACGATGTCATATACTGTCAAAGTATAAACCGATAGACGATACAATGGAGATCGGTGAGCTTCATGTATTTGAATGTGAATGGATTTTGAGTTCAGATACTCTACAAGGCTTGACGCGCCAGTGGTTCCCACATGAAGGTTTTCCAGAAAAGTATATGGAAAATAGTGAATTGTTATTTAATATGTATTTAATGCCAGTGCTCGTTATGAACTGTAAAACTCCGACGTATCTTGGTCTTTATTATGATTTATTTGAGTGGCTACGTGCTACAAACTATTTCTTAAAACGTTTGGCAATCCTGCTAATATAGTTTGTAATTTCAAGGTTGAGGATGTGGAGAATGTACAGTCCTGCTGAGAAACAAGTAGGAATGTCCTGACAAAATGTTGACGCGGAAGAATCTAGAAGAGTCCCCGATAAATAAAGGCATTAGTAGCTTGGTATTTGATTTGGAACTACATGTCCATCCTTATTTATTTGTTATAAGCTTCTGTGAATGATAGAGTATCTGTAAAATGGTTAATATTACATCTATTCATGTTAGTGACACTGACATCAAAATTAACCGAGAAACAGCTTTTTATGGAGAAATATCGAGCTGTGATTGTGTGGTAGTTATATGAACTAATAACTCTTTTTTAAGAGATGACTGACTGATTTCGAATTCTAAATACAATACGTTCGTTCGTGCTCACATTAGTTCTTCTTGGTCTAAACTGCATTATTTCTAGTATCCCCAGTTCGTATTGTTACGGGAGAACTGAAGACATTTGGCGGATTGAAACCTTTTATTGTACATTAATAATTTACTGTATTTTTGAATGTAATTGTTTTACTTAACTTTTGAACTTGTTTGTTTATGTCATTATTTCGGACATTTTGGTTTGTCTTTGGTTTGGTATTTTGATGCTCTCTTTATCTTTGGTTTGGTATTTGGGAGTTTTGCTCCGGGAACCTACAAAATTGAAGGTTTTTTTGTAATTGTTATAATTATTGTTGTTAGAACGACATTTGGTCGATTATTTGTGAATTACGAATAAATTTGGTATCTAAATTGGAGCTTGGTTCTGTTGTTAATTTGGGTTCGTAATTTGCAAGTAGATCGATAGTCCGTACTTCAATAACTGGAACGTGTAAAACTTGTACGTAGCAGTATAACAATTCACATATTTCCAATTATCACAGATGGATTTACAATTAGGTAAGAGCTATATCTTCAAAGTTAGTAAGGTGAAATTCGATTTCATGCAGAGACCAATTGAGTCGTGGCCGGCCAGTAATATTGTAAAAGGTCTTGTAATTAAAGATAAAAATTGCCACGTATGCAATACCTAAAGTGTCCAGTGTTGGTCAACTCATTAATCTGTAGTGACTCAGGTTTATCACGAGAACACGACTGGTTTAATAAAAACAATTATTATTATAACCAACTGTACCAGTGTTTGTTTTAACGTGCTTTTGTTTGACTGTGCTAATGAC